CATCGCTGGTGCACAGCCAGCAATAAGCAGCATGAATCCATTTCATTGTCTATAATAGCTCTTTACCTGAAGGCATTTACATCTGTGCTCTCTTACCATCACAAGTCATCTTGTATTTCTTCTCTGCATCCCCATCCAGTTTCTTCATGTTGTGCCAAATCTCTCTGGCCTCTTTGACATTGATCTAGAAAGAGCAAACAGAAGGGTCTGCACAGATTGCTTTGAGCAGAGAAACAGCCCAGGCACAGAAGCTCTCAAAAGGCTTCTCTGCAGTCTTTCTCCTCCTACTTCTGTGTCACCACCAGTTAACTGCTCCCCAACACAGTCTTTTCCAGATACAGGAAAAGAACACTTCTCTAGCTCAGCTACTGATGTCATGCATCCCCCTTCATTCTGCACATTAACACCACACTTGGTGTTTATTTTGGCTTCTCTGGACAGCTTCAAGGTATTGAGGGTTTTGAGGCTGTCAATTCACTTCCTACCAGAAATACCAACTTCAAACGGGGTTTCTGCTGCCTGGATTGGATGTGATCGGATATGAGCAGTGCAGAGTGGAAAGGCTGATGTCCTCCACAATGCCACCCCATGCTGTTTGCAATGGCAATGCTTGCTGTTGCTATGATGTCTGTCCTCTAAATGAGAGCTTTTGGGTTTGGCTCTGTGTATCCAAATGACTACAGAAATGCTTATTGCCTTCACATGTAAGAGCACAACATTCAGGCACTGATATAAATCCATGGAACCTCTTCTTTTTCCTTGCAGGGAAGACACATCTGCACTGAGCAGAGCCAGCGATGACAACCTCTCCAGAAGCCAGCTGTGCAAACAGGGACAACAAAGAGGCCCTGGTTCCTTTGTATTTGTCACAAATAACCATGGAATAACGATGGGATAACCAGGGAATAACCATGTTTTGATAGTCAGCTCTGAGAGCTGAAGCTCAAATACCCATGAAATAGGAGAGATGTGGATGAGAGATGAGGCCCTTCTAACCCTTGCGGTCTTGCCCCATCCAGATACTCACTTCCTTTTCTGCTCGACTGACAGGTTGTGTCTGGCCATGAGTGTTTCTGAACCAATGAGGAGAGTGCTCTTCACAGATCTCTTCATCTGAAGAGGCAAAAAAGCTTTCCAGGGTTTGGGAGACCATTTTCCCTCTTACAAACAGAGACTGGCCCTTCTGGTTCCGTAGAAGAGAACTGATGGAATAAACTGACATCTTGGAGAAGTTCAGCTTGCCTTTTTCCTTATAGCTGGGCCACAGATGACACAAAACAAGAGAGACATGTTGAAACACACAGGAAAAGCCTAGTGGAAAAGCAAGCTCAGTTTCCTTCCTGTTGCACACTAACACTTGCTGATAGAGCTCTGGTTTATACACCCACTGTAACCTGCTAATGGAATAGCTTTTAAATCTGCACGCATTTTGTGGTGGAAGCACAAACATGTTCATTTTATAGATGGAAAGTCGAGCCAGTGAGATACTCCCAGCATTAGCCTCTGCAATTACAGCATTTCCAGAGCCAGTTAAGAGGATTACCTCTTTCCAGGATGTGGCTCATTTTCCCTCTCATCTGCAGTTTAGATGTGCCAGACAGTGCTCATTAGAATAACTCAGGTTAAAACAACCACCTCCTCTAAAGAAAAACAGCATTTAGCGTGGTTGTACCACTGAAATGTAATTGGGAAATGGGGAAAAGACATTCTCAGTGGCTTCTATCTCCCTGTGAAGTGCTCCTTGGCTATAAGCACAGGATGAACAGCCCCCAAACCAGCGATGGGGCTTGTGTCAGCACTCTATGCCAGAGCAGGGCAATGATTGTTTCCCAAGGCTCCTTTGAATGCTAAAATCACTGAAAGCATTCAGAAACCATAAATCACAGCCCGGCTTGAAGCAGGAGAAAGAAATCATTTCCCCCATTACTTTTGCTTCCTCACATCCTGGAGGGTTACTTCAAAATCAGACTTCCCTTTCCTGCCTCGTCTTTTCCCTGCTGCATTAGCCTTCAATGAAGAAATCTAAAGTCCCCACTCACGGTTTGCCAACACTTCCATACGCCAACGAGTGGAAAGTCCTGCACGTGACATTCTTGGGGAAGACACTTTTCCCCTTCTCTGCAACTGCTTTGTTAAATGCCACGTAAAGGAACTGCAGACCTGCAAACTTCTCCGCATACTTGACCAAGGTCGAGGTCTTCCCTGAGCCTGAAGAACACAAGAAAGCAAATAATAAAGCATCCAGAAGATCTTCCCTGTGAGGGTGGAATGGGTTGAATGGAAAAGCTGTGGCTGCCCCATCCCTGGCAGTGTTCAAGGCCAGGCTGGACAGGGCAGGGAGCAACCTGCCCTAGTGGAAGGTGTCCCTGCCTGTGGCAGGGTGTTGGAACTGGCTCAGCTTTCAGGTCCCTTCCAACCCAAAGCACTCTGCAATACCATTATTCTATGATCCAGAGTCAGGGATGAATGAACCCACACCCCTCTCATCAGCTTCACCTCCTCCCTCCTACTGTCCTAAGTGCACAGCAGGACTATTTGCAGCTAATGGGAGTTTATTTACCAGCTCCAGTGAAATCAGCAGAAGCCGTGGAGCAAAAGCAGCTTTGAAAACCTACAGTCCGCATCCCAAAAGCTTTTAATAAAACCCCCTTTTATCACCCAGTATTGCAGGAATCTGAACATACCAGAAGGTCCTAGTTCTCCTGAAAGACAGCTTGGTAAATGGAATGTTAAAATTGCTCTTATGAACGACTGTGCTCTGGCACCTAGAGCATCTCCTACCCTTTTCACTGACTTTGGTGTCTGCAGAGTTATTTCTCTCATACATTCTCACTCGTCTTTAGCTGCATGTTTTCCCCTTCCCTTCTTAAATACATTACCCCAGAGGTGGTACCAGCATCACTGATGGGCTCAGCCTTGGCCAGTGGTTCTATCAGACACAGGGGAAGCTTCTAGCAGGTTCTCACAGAAGCCAACCTTGTAGCCCCCCAATACCAAAACCTTGGCACAGAAACCCAAAGTGCCTGGTATGGATACTGGGCTCACTGGTACATTGCTCCCATGTCTCGCTCTAACTCCACTTTCACAACAGCTGTCAGCAATTGGTTTGGCCACCTCACCCTCAAGTTCCTTTACATCTCCTGGGTGATGCAGTCCAGAGCATGAAACAACCCACCAAGGGTCCCATCCATAACCTTTCCCATGTGGATGTGAGACTGACCCTTTGGTGGACCCCTACAGAGAAGGATCCTGAGGCTGCTCCTTTCCAAGACCCTCTATGAGGAACATGGATGGATGCAGAAACACATTGAGCCGCTCTGTCACTGCATCATTCCCTCTACGGCATCCTTTACATCGCAGTGAGCTAAGAGAGGCTTTGGCAAGCACCCTCACCCACATGTCTGAAGAATAATTACACTCTTTTATGCCTTTTGCCAGCTCTTTTTCAGCTTTGTTGTGGTCACATGAAACCTCTGTTCATGTATGTTCCCTTCTGCATCATGGGGGCACGGTGACTTTGTGCAGACATAAGAAACCACCCTCAGTGGCTTCTGTACCGTGGTGTTCCGCTGTACGTGTCCTTTAGCAGGTCTGTTCTGGCACAGAGCATGCATTAGCTTCGAGGCCCCAGGGTTGTGTCTTTAAAGGGAACTCTCTGGAGGTGGAAGGAGAAAACTGACTTTTCCTTCTCTTTATAAACAGACTTGATTTTATCCAATTCCCCTTTTCAAAACAGTGTCAAGCACTGAGGAATTCTTAGCTTGTGCTGCTTCCACAGGGATGCTAAATCTGAACAAGTCAGACTGGCTCTGTCTAGAGGCCTGTGGACAATAACACTGCGAAACAGCAACACATGGAGCTGCTCTTCTCCTCCTGGCTTCCCTGACAAGCTGCTCTGGGCAGTCACTGACACTTGGTTTCAGTTTCACATCTGAATAAGACACTTACCCAGCTTGAACGGCAGCAACCACCACGCTTCCCATCCCCATTTCTCTGCAAAAGCTTGCTCTGATTGTTTTTCTATTGATAAAAGTAGGGTTCATCCCCTGGTATCCACACAATTCCTTGGATAAAGAAGCAGGGGGGAAAGGGGCAGGATTAGAGGTTACACATTCAGTCTTACAATGTAAGTTTTGGCTCTTACCTGCAAATGCCATAATCTTCACTATTTGACCATGCTCAATTTTGTGATTCAGAACCCTTTGCTGTTCGTGGGTCAGCTTTACCTCAGGCCAGCTATTAAAAGCAGAAAGCAACACAAAGGGAAAGGAATGAAGGACATAAATCCTGCCACATAAACCAACCACATCAACTAAGAGCAGAAGGAACCCAATGGAACGACTGATCCCCTCCCACAAGCAGGAAGGTGGCACTAGTGCTACTTGGTTATTGTGCACAGGAGAAGAGCAGGGAATGAGAAAAGACTGGAGATAGCAAAGGTAAAGAATAAACCTGGGGAATGTTCTATAGGGAAAGATCTTCTCAAGGGGCCTAAGCCTTTAAAGATGAATCTGGCACTGTGGCTCCTTAGGCTTATTGAAAACAGTGACTTGGGTTTGGAGTGTTTTGCTGCGCTCTGATGTCTCAGCATACAGGACAGATCCATTCTCCTGCCTCCCAGAGGAGCCGAGAGCTCTGATTAACATTAAGAAAGGCACTCAGTGCAGTTGTTGTCTTCATAAAGGTCTAAATCCTGTAATTGGCCAACAGCATGAACCACCTCTTTGTGCAGGGTCCTCTCCAATACCACGGAATCCTTGTTTAAGCATCCTTGACATTCCACAGCTGGCAGTCAGGTGACTGCCCCCAGGACACATCTTTTACTGGACAAGCAGATTCTGCTTAGAAGACTTCAAATGAAGGGGTGGAATGAAAGGGCTGGGAAAATAGCCTCTGATTTATTCATGTTATTATAACCTCTAGCACTGTTGTACCTTGGATCATCAGTGGTTGGATTTATCTTTGCTAGATCCCTGTGACAGATGAAAGCACTACCCCTTCTGTAGGTAAGGATGAGGAAACTAAATGACTCTACAGCAGAAGTGGAACCAAGCCTGGACCTCCACAGGCCAAGAAAGCATTTCATTCCTCACTGTCCTTCCTTTCTAGGCAGTAAGTTACCAACCAATGCTAACCTGTAATATGTATATATAACATTATGTTAATATTCACATGATATTAATATTATGTTAATATGTTCCAGTTATCCAACAGGATCCAGAAAACAGGAGCCAAATCAACGCCCTGGGGCTGGTATCTCATTTCCTCCCATGCACAGAAAGCAGTGCTCACAAATGAACAGCCTCAGCAATGCCACCAGCAGCCAGCCCCTTGACTGAATGCACCTTGTGTTTCCAGAGGAGCCCACTGCTAAATTTAAAGCAGGTTCTCTCCCCTCCTTTCAGAGCTTCTTATCCATAGGGAGAGTGGTGATTTGGGAAGAGCACATGGAACTGTGCTCCACCAAAATATAGATCCATCAGTGAATAATGACTGCTAAATTTACTCAGTGCTTGGAAATTCAATTTGTACAGATTAAGGCCTGGTTTTCCTCTGAGAATTCAAGGAGAAGAGGGAAAGGAGCAGAAGAAGGGTTTGTACCAATCCTTATGAGTCTTGTCAACCAGCTCCTACCAGGAAACATTTGCTCGCCCTCCAAGGTTCATCCCTCCACCAGGACCCTGCTTACTTATCACCTACAATAGCATTACCCAGACTGTAAGTCTTGTCTGCAGCACGAAGCCACCGCATCCTCTTCCACTGTCTGCATTGTCACAGAAGCATTTTCCATCAGGTACAAGCAGTAGAAAATGCTGTAATGGATCCTGGTAGAAGAGACAAGAGACAAACTATCACTGAGAACTCATCAATAGCAAATGAAGTGTCTGCAGCTACCTAAAAGACCACCAACACCTCAAATAACTCCACTGGGATGGGGCACAAAGCCCCAGGCACTCAGGGAGTTGCAGGAGACAGTGTTAAGAGTAGTTAGTTCTGCCTCAGAAAGTGAGTGCTCTGTGGCCTCCTCCTCCTCCTCACTCCTGCTAGGTTTGGGTTTCAGGGTCTGCCATACAAATGTGACGTGGGATCAGTCCAAAGCATCCTTTTGCTCTCCTGAACCACTATGAGCAACAGCCTAGGGGAGTTTGAGAGAGAATTTGGGGCTAGTTCAGGCTTTTGAAGTGAACCAGTTTCATCAACTGCCTTATGACGATCCCCTGACAATCCTTCATGGTGCAAAGAATGGAGCTCAGAGACTCTGTGGCTTTACTTGTGCTGGCAACAGCAGGTATAAAATGAACCTCCGTGGCACACCAGGGTTGACACCACTGTGGTTTTACCTCTTTTAGTGCAGTTTTGGTCCTGTGGCCTAAGAGGGCCACACTCCAGGACAAACCTTGTGTCTCACATTAGGTGACCTGCACTCTCAGATTCACATTGCTCGAGGAGCTGCAAACAGGATTCAGACAGTTCCTCAAGGCCAGGTTTTCCTCCTCACACCCCAAATCACAAACCTCGTGGGGTTTGAAGAGATAATGGCAGAAGAGATGTGGTCATTCCTACCTCTTCTCTCCTCCGTTATTTAAAGAGGTGGAGATGGGACATGGGTGACTTTGACCATGAACTCTCATTGCTAGCAAGTACATCCTCTGTCTGCCACACCCTTAGAAGGTGTTAACTCAAGTTAATGACCTTAGCCAGCAATCAGCAATCACTAACAGGCCAAAGAAGCATCCTGATTTCCCTGTTTGGTAGCCTGAGTACATGGCCCATGCCTGAGTAAGCAGAGGATGAAGTGTCTAACACAAGCTGATCTATACCGTGCAGAAGGCAGCTTAAAGAGCATTCTTCTTCCTGGCTATAGATCCATTTTCAGTGCAGTTCCTCTCAAGTCTTCCCTTAAGAATCAATTACAAGTGTCCTTACTCCTTATCTCATCCTCACTGTAATTCTGTGGGCTCTTACCTGCATTACCAGGTGATACCTGTAATCATACTGTGATTACCAGTATCATACCTGTGATGATTACCAAATCATACCTGTGATTACCAGGCACCACTGTGAACAAAAGACAAGAGGATGGATCGCTACCTACAGGCAGAGGGAGCCCATGGAGTATCATGTAAGAGGAGTAAAGTAAGTAACTGGTCTCAGGAAGGTAATACCCACATTAAATTGTGATGTGCATCTATTTCTAAGCAGAAAGTTTCTATAATTGCTTTAAAATCTGCTTTTCTTTCTGAAAAAAATCCTATTCCTTGGCTTTATCTCCTGAAAAACAAGTGGATTATAGAACAGTCCTGGAACTAAAGCAAATCTAAAGGTAACACTCCCGAATGTTCCTGCAACAAGCTAGGGATGTGCACACTGTTCCCAACAAACTGTACACTGAGCAACCAGAGAGCCCTAAGAGGAATATTATGCTCGTGAAATATATAGAAAATACGTATTTCATATACATATATGTTCACATATATTTATGATACAAAATATATATTTATATGTATAATAATATGAATATATTACATATATTAAATATACATATGTTAATACATATTAAATATATATTTTATATATATATAGAAATATCTAGAAATATCTGCTTATGGGCATATATTCACTGTATATATTCCACATTACTATAGCTAGAAAGAGGCAGGCAGACAGGGAGCATCTTCCTCTTCCTTTACCTGTTAGTGATGACAATGCCCTTGTTTCTCATTGCACACAGCAGTGTTGCCATGCAGTAAAGTGTCTCGGTCACATCCACAACAGAGAGGGTAGAGCAGGGTCTCTGCAGACATCTGATCAGCTTTTGGATGTCGCTGACACCGTCGGAGAAAAGCACCATGACCGCAATGATGGCCCAAGTGCTCTCAGGCTGGGGGAGGCAACCAAGAGAATGAGCAGAAAGCCTGTAGGAGGCTTTAGGAGCAGGCAAACACTGCTTCCACGCTGGAAAAACACTTCTGCCTTGACAAACTCATAACCCGGAGCAGCTCTGCTCTGGAGCCAGGCTGAGAGAGCTGGGCTGGGTCAGCCTGGAGAAGGCTCCTGAAGGGGAGACCTTAGAGCAGCTCCAGTGCTTAAAGGGGCTGCAGGAAAGCTGGAGAGGGGCTTTGGAGAAGGGCCTGTGGGGACAGGCCAAGGGGAATGGCTTTAACCTGCCAGAGGGGAGACTGAGATGAGCTCTTAGGCAGAAGCTCTTCCCTGTGAGGGTGCTGAGGCACTGGCACAGGGTGCCCAGAGAAGCTGTGGCTACCCCATCCCTGGCAGTGTTCAAGGCCAGGTTGGACACAGGGGCTTGGAGCAAGCTGCTCTAGTGGAAGGTGTTCCAACCCTGGAAGGTTGGAACTGGAGGAGCTTTAAGGTCCCTTCCACCCAACCCACCTATGACTGTATGAATAGTATCAAATAACACCCCAAAGGGAAAACCTTCAGATGCAGGAGGGCAGATCTGTCCTCAAAGCACCAGGAAATGCTAAACCTGTTCCATAAACCAGGTAATCGCTGTTAAACCTACCCCAGCCCTGCTCTGTAAATGTGGCAGCTTGTTGACAACACAGACTTCAGCCTTTGAGAAGAGGTGATGACTCTTCAAACACCGCAGAACCGCACTGGGATCTACCTTCCACTTGGTGGGTATGGCAGACACACACCTGCACAGAGTGGGAACAGCAGCATTTGCAAAGAAGCCTTATCAAGTTGGTTTATTCACCTGATATATAAATATATACCAAGTTTATATAGTGATGTAAATAAAGCCTTCTCCATAATACCATCGTTTTAGTCTCCAAGTTCTTTCTGGCTGTCTCAAAGTCTCCTTTCAGAAGATGGACCCACTTTGCTCCTAAACCAATCTGACTCTATTGGCACCATCTAACTGCCAAACATCAGTCCCTCTAGACTACAGAGGTCTGAACAGTGCACTTGCTCTTATCAGGGACCTGGCTTGGGCTTGGCCTTGACTGATAAGTCACTGCAGGTCCAGGAAAGCAGCCTTTCAGGAAAGGAAAAGATGGCAATACATTGGAGATGGGAGGGACCAGGAAGAAGAGCTCAAATCTCACACCCCCCATGAGATCCTTGTATTTTACCTAAGCCCAGGAGATGCTGAGCCTCTCTGGCTCATCAGGAGATGGAGAAACAGAGCTGACGTGACAACTCCTGAAACACAACATGATGCTGAAAGGGACGCTTACATTGGGCCTCACTTTCTCCAGCACAGTCACCCTGCAGGAAGCAACCATGGAACATCCTCCCCCAAGCTTGTTGTTGGGTGCCAGAAAGCAGCAAGTGACAGAGCAGCCCATATTTGACTCTGTCATCTAATGCTTGTCTTGGAGCTCCTGGCAGCTCCTCTCAATTGCTGAACCGAACCTGCCTGTGCTCCGACATGCAGGTCCATCTCCAGAACCTTCCTTTGAGCCTCCAAATGCAGCAGCTGCTTGTTGGCACCCTCTTGCTCAGGCTCTCCTCACCTCTTTCCTCCTTTGATGTAACAACCATCTCCCTGCCCTCCCTCCAACAGGCAACACTATTCAAGACTGTTCTTCCACCCCCTCTTCCCAGTCCAGCTTCTCCATCTCTTAGTAGAAGGCTATCCCCGCCCAGCCTCTCACTTAGCCATCACTTCTCACTTGCTATCAATGATGCAAACTGCAGAAGGGACTTTGGAAGCCAACTGCTCAGTGCAGGGGCAACTTCAAAGTTTGGTCATTTGTCCACTTGAGGCCTGAGCATCCCTAATGATGGAGATTCCCAACCTCTCTGGGTCAGTGTTTGGCTGCTCTCTTAATATCTAACTGGATTTCCTATATGGAACTTGTGTCCATTGCCTCTTGCCCTCTCACTGTGCACCTCCAAGCATCATGCTCTCTATGGCATCTTATTACACACGGGAAGACAGCGATTAGATCCCCTTTCCACCTTCTCTTCTCCAGATTTCATCCTCTACTTGTATATCTCCTCAAACACCATGTTCAGTTTTGGGCTACAGGAAAGACACTGAGGTGCTGGAGTATGTGTCCATGCTGCTGGTGCAGGGACTGGAGCACCAGTACTAAGAGGAGCAGCTGAGGGACCTGGGGGGTTCAGTCTGGAGAATAGAAGGCTCAGGGGGGACCTTGTCACTCCCTACAACTGACTGACAGGAGGATGGAGCCAGGAGGGGCTGGGCTCTGCTCCCAAGGAACAAGGGATGGGACAAGAGGAAACGGCCTCAAGCTGCACCAGGGCAGGTTTAGATGGAGCTGAGGAACAATTCCTTCCCCAAAGGGTGCTCAGGCATTGGAACAGGCTGCCCAGGGCAGGGCTGCAGTCACCGTCCCTGGAGGGGTTTAAAAGATGTGCAGATGTGGTGCTTGGGCACACGGGTTAGTGGTGGCATTGACAGTGCTGGGTTAACAGTTGGACTCAATGATCTTAAAGATCTTCTCCTAAATGATTCTATGACCAAGTGCTCCAAACAGAACAAGGAAGAGGAAAAGGGAAGTTTTTCACCTATTTCTAGAACCCTTGTAGTGATTTCTATTCATCTTCCTGTCCATCTCCCTCCTGTTTAGAAGACAAACCCATTGCTCTCCTGGCAATTCACAGGCTACAATGGAAGAAGACCCAAAGCAAGGAAGGTCTGAGGATCTACAGGTACAAGTCAATGCTGAATTGGACTCACCTGATCAGCCCAAACACGCATCCTTCCTGCTCCTTTGTTATGGCAAAATCCTGCATGACCTGTTCGACGCTGCGCAGGGCCGTGGCCTCCTTCTTTAGGTACCGATGGTACAGCTTCTTCCAGGGAATGAACTGGAATGTGAAGCACATAGAACCATCTTTCACCTCACAGCACTGGAAAATAGGCTTCTTCTGGCAATAAGCTCATCAACATGACATCCAAAGACCTGGAGTTCAAAACGCCCCTGGAGCTTGATGGAAACACCTAGCATGAGATGGGGAATGGAAGAGGAAGGAGAGAAAGACAGACTTGCTCCTCATAGCCTGCAAACATGCCTATAAGAGGCTGGTTTTAATAATATTATGGGAACAGGGTGATGCTAGTTCAGTTTCAAAACAAAAACATTACAGGAATGGGAATATTTTCAACACTATTGCACAGAGCTGCTCTGAGTGCTTAAAATCCCTACATCCATGAAGCCTGACCTTCCCGCAGCCTGCTGTTTGGACTTCTTTGGTACAACCACCAGGACCCTGCCTTTTGGGCTGTGTACAGAGCACAGAGCAGATTTGGGAGAGGACTTGAGCACACTGAGCAGTCAATGTATACACTTGTTATGCATCGCTAGCTCTTCAGGCTCAAAACGTGCTGCTAAAGCAGAGTGAAGGGCATTGACAGGCTGAGAGCTGGGCTGGTTCAGTCTGGAGAAGGTTCGAAGGAGACCTTAGAGCAGCAACCTGCTCTAGTGGAAGGTGTCCCTACCCATGGCAGGGGCTTGGAGCTGGATGAGCTTTAAGGTCCCTTCGACCCAAACCATCCCATGATTTTATGACACCTCCTGCATTGCATCCAACCTCACTCATCCCAAGTTATCAGCAAGGCACGAACTAGAACATGGACCCCAGGAAAACCTGGGCTGTGATCAGTGCCCCCTGGCTCTGCGCCAGGCTGAGGAACCTCTTTGTACCAGCTGAGTGTTTCCAGTGCGAATGGAGCGAGCTGAGCAGCGCTGGCTGCCTCTGAGTCACCTCCCGTTGGATGCAGAGATCTCACTGCAGCCAAAAGGGGGTCACCACTGTTTGTACTGTGAGAGCCTCAACTGCAGATGGATCCAGCTCCATACAACCAGAGCCAAAAGCATTTCCTCTAAAGCCATTTGACTACAAGAGACACCACACACACAGGCTGGGGCATGGGACATCCACCAGCCACAAGAGGACACTGCCCAGTCTGGAGCCAGTGTCCTGCATGACCCCTGTCAGATAGAAAGGAAGATTGTGTGCAGTCTTACAGGATGCTCTATCCATGTTATGGGAAGTGCTAAGAGATGTTAGTGATTTAGCTTAAATAAGTAAGTTTTAATTGTTTGAGTCAGAGTATTGTGTGGTTTAGGATGCTGTTTGCTCAGCTTTAGCTTTACAAAGCAGCTAGGTTGGCCAAAGCCTTAGGCCAGAAACTGTGGACTTTCACCAAGAGATGCTTTCAGCTGGAATAGAGTTGGTTTTCCCAGTATTATCCCCAGAAGCTGGCGCAGTGCTGTGTTTTGTCTTTAGTGTGAGAAGAATGTTGTGATTACACTGATGGGTTTAGCTGTTGCTAAGTCCTGTTTATCCTGAGTCCAGGACTTCTTCAGTGTCCCATGCTCTGCCATTCAGCACAAGAAGCACAAACCAGAAGATAAGGAGACTCCTGCTGTCTGCAGGAGCTGGAGCTCCACAAGATAACAAGAGCTGCATCCAGCTCT